AATGAGATTGCTGGTATCGATAGCGATCCTCTGAGAAATTTTGATCTTTATAGTTGAAAATTTACTGTAAATCGTGTATGCTTTATAAAAAATTATAAAGCACGCCCATGGCACGAGATAACAGTGGTACATTAAATGTACCATTAAATGTACCACCTCTCGTCGTATTTTATTGGCTGATTCAAAATGTGCTTTATGAGATGTCCATGCGCTATGAAATATCCCCTGCGGTAGCTCTTTTTAAAGTCTGTTAAAGTGTACCACTTTGCCGCGATGATGGAAAATATCTCCACTATAGCTAAGGATGTTGTGGTAGTCGTCGGCGCTAAATACTTGTAGTTGTACATTTACAATAGCTACGAATTGCGATATAACAATGTTAACAGCACCTCACATGTTCGAGGGAGCTTAATACCTGACAGAGCCTCTTCGCTCCTCTCATCTCTTCTTCAAAATAGCACCACGTTCTTTTCCTTTATACGCGCCCATGTGAAATCGCACCTCACACTCAGAATCACTCGTCGTCCACTAGCTCCCTGTCACAATTGACTTGCAGAGTAACACCACCGAGGTGGCTGCCCAGCCTGTAAAATTGCCCATCAACAGGCCCATCGACGTGATAGTCACATAGTCGGACACAGACACGACTTCTTTCTTGGGTTTTACCTGAGGCTTGACCGGTGGTTGGACGCTGTCCTTTGCGCTGGGTTGGTAGCAATAGTACATACCCGCGACGCCCATGAGACAGACCTCCCAACCGAACATGGCTCGTGTACTCAGCGAGCTGCTGTATGCGCGTGCACTGGAGCCGACAAAGCCAGTGGCGAAGGATAATAGCAATGGTGCCAATTGGGCGAAAGTCTCACCCAGACGAGGCTTGAGGGCCGGGCCGTAGTTGTCGTACAGCCGCCGCTTCTCTGGGTCGGATAGCACCTCGTAAGCTTCGGTAATCGCTTGGAACTGCTCCGGTTCAGCGTTTGGATTCCTGTCTGGGTGGTATTTGAGTGCCATGGAGCGATACGCCTTGACAATCACGGATGGACTGGACATAGCAGAGTAATAAACAGTGAGTAAGGATCGGTGGAGGGTGTCAAGGCTGTAAAAGGAGAATGACGACGTAAGGCGCGGGGATAGACAGATAGGTACCTTGCGTCCACGTCCACATCGAGGACGGAGTAGTAGCACGGCTCCTGCACCTCGTACATGGCCATCACGGCGGCAAGTTGGCAGCCGTAATCGCGTTTTGACGTCTGAGGACTACCGCATCTAATTTAAATTCTTTTTAACCAATCCGATTTAGGTTGAAGCTTTGGTCGAATACAGTGTTGGCCGAGCGTCTTACAACGTCTTATATTTTATGTAGATCGATGTACCGCTGTGTGAGGCGGTTGGCAAAGCAACTACCAATGGTTACTTCAGAATGGACTGTACTACCACGTCGAGGAAGCTGACGGATAGTGTGGGGGCCTGCAACTTCATGGCGTCGAACTGTTCGCGGCTCATCTCAAACACCGTGCAGGGCTCCGCTGCTACGGCTGCTGTTTGACGAGCTTGTTGGCTAAAGAAGAAAACTTCACCAAACATGGAGCCAGGCAGGACAGTTTGCAGCTGAGTCAGAGGTTGACCGGGGTCCACACTGCCGTCTTCGTTCACGAGCAGGTTAACGGATCCGCGGGCCAAGAAATAAAAGTGGTCCGAGGACTCTGCGACGTGGTAGAACTCATGACCAGCAGGAACGTCACTCTTGCTGAAAAACTGGTCGACACCCTGAAGCAGCCTCGAGTTGTCTGGCTCACCCAAGTAGCGATGCAGCAACAAGCTGACAGGCTCGTTGGCGTATCCGCGACGCAGAGTCTGGGCCAATTCTTCTGCGTCTGGCACCAGCTTCTTCGCACAGAACTCAAGAGTAGCGTCGGTCGTAGGGAAGAAACTGTAGTCGTCTGCAGCCTTGTTCTTCACTAGCAGACCGCGGATATCGGGACGTACGTTGGCGTAAACCACACGGATGTTCTGGATCTTGCAGTAGTTCTGCAAGATAGCGAAGGCGCTGGATGCTGCAGTTGCATCCATGCCGGAGACGCGGGTGAAGTCCATGACAACAAACTCGGTAGGAAAAGCTACTTCGTCCGAAGTTGGCGTTCCATCGAGACATTCAACTGGGGCGTTCCAGGACGCACGAACGGGGAGGAAGCTCGACTCGCGCTGAGTTCCCCTCTCGTCTTCGCTGTCACTTGTCTGCTTACGAACGTATATGCCCTTCTGAACGCCATCCAAGAGCTTGACAGCCGAACCGAAGAAGAGATAGCCGCAGAACTCGAAATGCGCGATGCCAGCGTTTTTTATGTTGAGCACTCTGCTCTGAGCGATGTTACGAGCCCCCACTGAAGCGTTGGGGTCGGAAACTCATGGTACTTTTGTCCAAACTTTGGCACTCGCCACGGAGAAAGCGAGTCACGGCGCTTTCGCCAAAGATCGGTTTTTGGGAGCTGACAAGAATGGGGCGAGGGCTCATGAACTGGAA